GTGCCACGGCAAACACAGATCAGGCAATAGCATCACTATATGCAATTTGCTAGGTTCTACTGCTTACTATCAGCAAACTGTAACATTTTCCTTTCTACAAAAGCAAATGGTGCCTTTAGAATAGAGGTAATAAAGCACGCAGTAGCGTTTAAAGCCACGAAATATCCGTATATCATATGCAATCCTTTGAGATGACAATGCTGTAGAGCTCAATGGCTTCATCTGGCAGACGTTAGGGTACCAAGCCTGCTGGTAAACTTGGACAGTAGAAATTTTTATCTCCTATTCAGTTGAAAACAAACTGACAAACTGAAATTAATTAGAAAAGGGGACAACCACAACATCTACAAGTTTGTCATCAATCTTAGGGAAAAGGGAGAGTAAAAGCCTGTAATTGTTCAGGAAAGGGAGTGAATAATAGATAATGGGTAATGAATTGAAGAATAGAGCACACCATTTCTCTTCCAGTGAGCAACCTAGTTTTAACAATGACGATAATATTAATTTTAACAACATGATAGCACTCAAAAAATTGAGTTAAAGTCCTTAGCAAGTGTGTTAAATTCTGCAGGAACAGATGAAATTTGCCCTTAAGTATTTTTTTTGGGAAAATGAAACAAAACAAAAACACCAAAACCAAACAAATAACCCTAAGTAAGAAAAAAACCCAAGCAAAACATAAATAACTGAAGCAGTCTCTGCAATGTTAGAAGTTATTTCTGAGAAGTCATACAAGAAACCTAGAGGACTTCAGAATGTTAGAGAGTCCCATACTCAAATGTAGGAAAAGTAAGGCCCAAAATAATGCTACACCAACTGGATAAACAGAGAAACTATATAACTTCCATCTTTGACAGCAAAGTTTACTTGCTGCTAACAGGGTAGACAGTGTATAATTTGACTTTGCTAAGGTTTTTGACAAAGTTCGATTTTAAAGGAATACTAAGGAAGCTACTTGACCTAAATGCTAGCTTCTAGTCTTGTTAATGAATTATTAAAGTTTTTGATAATGCGTTTGAGTCTAATCATTAGCAGTTCCTTGTTAAAGTGGAATGAAATTTCAAGGAGCATTCCAGGCTCAAACTTGGTCTGATTCAATATTTTCAGCAATTTTGGTAATGAAATAGAAAGTATGTGTACAAGATTTGTGATATTATTCTGGGAAAGATTTTAGTCACTTGGGAGACAAAAATGAGGAAAAAAATACTCTGACATATTTGAAATACACTCTAAATAACATGAAATTACATAAAGTGTGAAGTATTTGTAGGACACATATTGAGAAAGTAAGAAAATGACAGCCTGAAAAATATTCCAGGCTGCAGCTTTTCAGCTCTGTTCCCAGCCGATAAGCTGGTCCAGCTCAAGGCTAGGGAGAATTTCTCCCAGGGTGATAATTTGGTCAAAATAAAAAGGAATTAATAACAAAGATAGAACACCTGTTGTGGTGTGTGCCCAGGCCCTGGCAATGGGGTGTCTTCTCTCTGAACCAATCACCTTTTCTCTACTCTTGAAGTTGCAGTCCTGCTATAAAACCAAGTGTGTTTCTGAATAAACTTGGCTCTTTCTTCCTTTCATGAAGGACGACCATGTAGCTGTGCATCTTATTTCCATCACACTTCAAGGGTTAAAACCCCTTACCCACGGCTACAAGTATTGCACTTTAAATAAGAAAGCAAATGTATTGATGTAAACTCTGAAATAATAGGTTACTAGCAGTATATTGAAATAGAATGTGAGAGTTACAGGGTACCAGAATTTACATAATGAATCAATAGCGAGATATTACTGCAATTAAATACTATTTTAGCACATAATGGTATACAGAATTGGAGAACGGCAGCTATTCTTCATGTAACAAATGAGGATGCAGTTGAATAATATATCCAAGCCTAGGCATGATGCCTTCAGGAAGATGTGGAGCAGCTGGGGAGAATAATCGGGGGAGGTAAACGCTGCCTGTGGGGGGAAACTGCGAGAAAGCGCCCGCGGCGTCCGGGATCTGCCAGCAGGGGACAGCCAGGCGCCAGGGGACACTGCCCGGGGAGAGGGGACACTGCTCGGGGAGAGGGGACACTGCCCG